GGAATTGAAAGCTAAAACATCTGGGGACCCACAGGTTGAGGACCACTGCCTTAGACTGTCAACTCCCAGAACCCTCAAGCAGCACAGCCGCAGTCCAAAAAACTTACCCCAAACCCAGATGGACTGACAACAAATCCCAGGTGGTGTAGGTGCTACTTCAGAGGAAGGAACTGGCCAAACACCCTCTGAGTATTTCTTGCCTAAGAAACCCCTATGAAATTTATGGGACAGCCATAATCCAATAGCCAACTTGAAGGTGCACACATACAGGGACTGTCCTTGGTCCCTTGCTTCCAAACACTACTGGCCAGAATTCCCAGAACATGGGGCAAACATGGGACTGTTACTCCCAGAATCCCCCATTAAAGAGGGTTTTGAAAATGGCATCCCATAAGACTAGGCTAAATTTCAGAGGAAGGAACAGGTCAAACCGCCTCCAAATAGACATCTCCAGTGAGTTAAATATGAAATGTAAGAGGTCACCATAAACTGACAATGTGATTTGAAGGTGCACACAGAAGCTCTGACCTTGGTCCCTTCCTCCTGAAACACTACACACTTGAACTTCCACAGCATGGGGGGAAAGATACTTTTCTCGACTCTCACTTCCACAACCCCTTAATCAACAAAGCTCCCAAAAGCATAGCCCAAAAGTTCTGCCAACAAATATCAGAAGCTGTAGGCTTTTTTCAGAGGTAGCAACTGACAAAACCACCCAGCTCTGAGCATTCCTTAAGAAAACCACGCACAATTTATGGGGTTACTATATGCCATCAGGTGACAATGCATACAAGGTCTGACCTTGGGCCTCTCCCCCCTCAAAAAAAGAAACACCACATACTAGTGCATGAAGAAAAGTGAGAAGAAGTCTAAAAAGAAGAGCCTCAAAGGCCTACAAAGGAATTCCAGTTACTATAGGCTCTATTTCAAATGAAGGAACTGTCAAGTGCTGGTTGGGAGATTCTGGATTTGCAACCTGGAATATGCTGACTGGGGGATGTCAGGACAATGCCTGGACACCTACAGCAAATTAAGTGTAAAATGTATGGGGTCCCCCTGCTAGCTGAAGGATTCTGGGAGCAGCAGTCCAAAAAGAAATGCCCCAAAACACTGTTGAGGAACAGCAGGACTGCTGAGAATAGCAGGTGTCCTTCCTCTGTTTCAGAGGAAGGAAAGAGTGAAAACACTCAATCTGGGGGCATTCCTTGCCTATGAAAAACCTATTAAATTCACCCAGACGCCATAAACTGACCAGAAGGTATATATATTACTGTCAGGACTACACCTGGGTACCTCCAGTGAGTGAAATGTGAAATTTATGGGGTCACCATGTGCTGACATGTGACTTGAAGGCGCACACACAAGCTTTCACATCCAATTTTGGCTTTAAAACCCCCGAATAAATCCATGGGGTCACCATAAATGGACTTATCCTTGTCAGGACTAAACCTGGGTATTACATGTGATATTTCTCTCCTCCGGAGGCCGCTAAGGAGAACCAGACTCTATTTTATACACAATTTGAGGCCTTCTTCACCTTAGAAAGCCCTAATAAATCCGTAAGTGAACTTGAACATACATATATCCCTATCAAAATCAAGCCTGAATACTTCCAGAGAGTTAAAGGTGATAAGGGCTGCCAAGGAACATCCAGTACTTTTTTATACCCAATGTCAGGTATTCCTTGACTAAGAAAAGCCATAAGAAGTCTCTAAGTGCATGTGATGGTACATATATTTCTGACAAGATCTATATGTGCCTAACCTAAGAAATCCATGGGATCACCATAAATTGACCTATTCCTATCAGGATGAAGCCTGGATACTTCTATTTCTGAGCAAGGAAGAGACAAACCCCCCAATTTTGGCTTTCCTTAAGAAACCTCTAACAAATCCACATTGACATAAATGGACTCGAAGGCACACTTATCCCTGTTAGGGCAAAGTGTGGATACTTCCAGTGAATTAAATGTGGTATTTGTTCTTTCTCAAGGGCTGCCAACGATCACTAGGACTCTTTCACATGCAATTTTGGATATTCCTTGACTACAAAAACCTAATAAGTCCCTAAGACATACATATCCCTGTCATACATTTTCCTGTCAGTGGGAGGGCCTGAATACCACTCCCACTGAATTAAATGTTTTTTTTTCTTTCTTCCTCAAGGGCTGTCAAAGAACACCAGACTCTCTTTCACACCCAATTGGGGAATATCCTTTACCTAAAAAAGCTCCAATAAATCCACAAATTGACTTGAAGTCACACTTATCCCTGTCAGGACTGAGGCTGGATATTTCTAGGGAGTTAAATGTGATTTTTTTTTCTCCTTTAAGGGCTGTCAAGAAACACTAGGCTCTACTACACACCCAATTTTGTATATCCTTTGCATAAGAAGTCCTAATAAATCCATAAGACACATATATCCCTGTCAGGTCTAAGCCTATGTACTTTGTGAGTTTTTCTCCTTTAAGGACTGCCAAGAAACACTAGGCTCTATTACACACCCAATTTGGGGCCTTCTTTGCCTTAGAAAGCCCTAATAAATCCATAAGTGAACTTGAAGGCACTTCTATCCCTATCAGGGCCAAGCCTGGATACTTCCAGTGAGTTAAATGCAATGCTTTTCTCCTTTAGAAACACTAGGCTCTATTACACACTAGGCTCTATTACACATTTAGGGCCTGGTTTGCCTTGGAAAGCCCTAATAAATCCTTCAATGGACTCGAAGGGACATCTATCCTGGTCAGGAGGAGGCCTGGATAATTCCAGTGAGTTAAATGCCATGTTTTTCTCCTTTAAGGGCTGACAAGTCACACCAGGCTCTCTTTCACACCCAATTTGGAAGTATCATTTGCCATAAAAAGCACCAACAAATCCACAAATGGACTTCAAGGCACAGCTATCACAGTCAGGACTGTGCCTGGAGTTAAACGTGACATTATTTCCCCAAAAAAGACTGGGAAGGAACACCCGGTTTTGCATCCAATTTGGGGCCTGGTTTGCCTCAGAAAGCCTTAATAAACCCTTCATTGGTCTCAAAGGTATATCTATCCCTGTCAGGCCTAAGCCTGGATACTTCCAGTGAGTTAAATGTGATTTTCCCCCCTTTAAGAACACTAGGCTCTATTATACACCCAATTTTGTTAATTCCTTATCTAAAAAAGCCCATGAGATATGTGTATATATCCCTCTCAGGCCTAAGCCTAGATACTTTCTGTCAGTAAATTCCAATGTTTTTCTCCAGCCAAGAAACACTAGGCTCTATTTCACATCTGATTTGGGGCCTGGCTTGCCTTGGAAAGCCTTAACAAACCCTTCAATAGCATCAAAGGCACATCTATTCCTGTCAGGACTATGCCTGGATAGTTCCAGTGAGTTAAATGCAATGTATTTCTCCTTTAGGCTCTATTACACACCAAATTTGGAGCCTGGTTTGCCTAGGAAAGCTTTAACAAACTCTTTGATTCGAAAGCACATCTATACCTGTCAGAACTAAGCCTGGATACTTCCACTGAGTTGAATACAATGTTTTCCTCCTTTAGGCTCTATTACACACCCAACTTGGGACCTGGTTTACCTAGGAAAGCCTTAACAAACCCTTTAATTGCATCAAAGGCACATCTATTCCACTGCAAATAATCTGTTTCTTTCTTATCTCCCTTGAGTTTTTAATCAGCCGTTCTTTTATCCATTACATGTAGCCCGCCCATTGACATTGTGATTGTGCCTATTGTAATTTTATATTGCTATGTTTTCATATGTTTTATGTAATTAGTTTGTTTGTTGTTTGCATTTTCAGTTTTATTTTATGTAATTGTTGTCTGGGCTTGGCCTCACATAAGCCGCTCTGAGTCCCCATTGGGGAGATGGTGGCAGGGTATAAATAAAGTTTATTGTTATTATTTTATGCAATGTATTCCTCCTTTAGGCTCTATTACCCAATTTGGCCTGGTTTGCCTTGGAAAGCCCTAACAAACCTTCAGTGGACTTGAAGGCACATCTATCCCTGTCAGGCCTAAGCCTAGATTCTTCCAATGAATTAAATGCAATATTTTCCTCCTTTAGGCTCTATTGCACACCCAACTTGGGGCCTGGCTTGCCTTGGAAAGCTTTAACGAACCCTTCAATAGCATCAAAGGCACATCTATTCCTGTCAGGATAGTTCCAGTGAGTTAAATGCAATGTATTTCTCCTTTAGGCTCTATTTCACACCCAATTTGGAGCCTGGTTTGCCTAGGAAAGCCTTAACAAACCCTTTAATTGATTCGAAGGCACATCTATCCCTGTCAGACCTAAGCCTGGATATTTCCACTGAGTTGAATACAATGTTTTCCTCCTTTAGGCTCTATTACACACCGAACCTGGAGCCTAGTTTGACTAGGAAAGCCCTAACAAACCCTTCAATGGGGATAGATGTGAAGACACATCTATCCCCGACAGGACTAAGCCTGGATACCTCCAGTGAGTTAAATTCAATGTTGTCCTCCTTTAGGCTCTATTACACACCCAATTTGGAGCCTAGTTTGCCTTGGAAAGCCTTAACAAACCCTTCAATAGCATCAAAGGCACATCTATTCCTGTCAGGACTAAGCCTGGATATTTCCAGTGAATTGAATGCAATGTTTTCCTCTTTTAGGCTCTATTACACACCCAATTTGGGGCCTGCTTTGCCTTGGAAAGCCCTAACAAACCCTTCAATGGACTTGAAGGCACATCTATCCCTGTCAGGCCTAAACCTAAATACTTCCAGTGAGTTGAATACAATGTATTTCTCCTTTAGGCTCTATTACACGCTCAATTTGGGGCCTAGTTTGCCTTGGAAAGCCTTAACAAACCCTTCAATGGACTTGAAGGCACATCTATCCCTGTCAGGCCTAAACCTGGATACTTCTAGTGAGTGAAATGCAATGTTTACTTCCTTTGCTCTATTACACCCCCAACTTGGGGCCTGCTTGGCCTTGGCAAGCCTTCCTAAACGCTTTCAAAGGCCTCGGCACGCACCTGGACGACCCTCCTGGGCGGGACGGAGAGCGTGGGGAAGTTTCCCCGGCCGTGGACAGGCACGGCCTCCTCGAGGATGTGGTCCAGGCGCTGCACCTGCTCCCAGCTGAGGACGCTGAAGCGGGCGTCGCCTTCGCCGGGCGGCTGCGCTTGGGGCTGCTTCTTCTTCTTCCCCGCCTCGGAAGCCCTCGAAGGCCCGTCGCCCGTGGCCCGCATCCCGAGAAATGAGGGGGAAAGAGGCGGCCGAGTTGGGCAAAGAGTCCGAGCAAGGGTCCAGAAGAAACACCAAACCGGCCGCCACCTCAAGGAATATCTGAAGGGACTGGAGGGGGCGGGGAAAGGGAAGGCCGAACCCCTGCTTCTTCTTTCCTCCCTTCTTGAGCCCAACCCGTCCCCTCTCGCTCCCACTTGTGCCTCAGAACTGCAGACTGCGCCCCTCGCGCGGCCCCTTTTATACCCCAAGAACGCCGCGCCGCCATTGGTCCGCTCGGATCAACCAATGCGAAGCGAGCTTTGGCAGCTCGGGGCGTTTTCATTGGAAGGAACGGAACGGGGGGGGAGGGGGAGAAAAGGAGTCGCTTCTTCTCTTTGGGAGGAGGGAGAAAGTGGGTGGAGCGACAGCCAGGTTGACAGGTCGTCTCGCGCGTCACAGGGAATCCTGCCTGTGATTAGCCAGCGAGGAGGAGGCTTGATTTAAAGAGACAGAGGCCCCTTCTTTGGAGGCTTTTAAACAGAGGCTGGGTGGCCATCTGTCGGGGGTGCTTTGAATGCGATTTTTCCTGCTTCTTGGCAGGCGGGTGGACGGGGTCTTTTCCAACTCAATGATTCTATGAGGTTGTCAAAGCTCATCAGGAGGAGATGAGCTTTGACATACGAAAGCTGACTGGCACAACCTGGGGATCACAACCAGATACAGTGAAGACATCTGCCCTTGCGCTTTGCTACTCTGCAGCTGAGTACGGATGCCCACTATGGAACACACCTTACACGCTAAAACAGTGGATGTGGCTCTTAATGAGATATGCCACATTATTACAGGATGTCTACACCCTACACCTCTGAAGAAATTATACTGTTTAACTGGTATTGCACCACCTGACATCTTCCAGGAAGTAGGAGCCAATACTGAAAGGACCAAGGCAGTGACATCTCCGGCCCATCCTCTGTTTGGATATCAACAAGCTGACTGGCACAACCTGGGGATCACAACCAGATACAGTGAAGACATCTGCCCTTGCGCTGTGCTACTCTGCTGCTGAGTATGCATGCCCAGTGTGGAACACATCTCACCACACTAAAACAGTGGATGTGGCTCTTAATGAGACATGCCGCATTATCACGGGGTGTCTGCGCCCCACACCACTGGAAAAATTACACTGTTTAGCCGGTATCGCACCACCTGACATCCGTCGGGAAGTTGCAGCCAATAGTGAAAGGACCAAGGCAGAGACATCTCCAGCTCATCCCCTGTTTGGGTATCAGCCAGCACGTCAACGACTGAAATCTAGAAATAGTTTTCTAAGATCTACAGAGACACTCGCTGGAACACCTCAGCAAGCAAGAGTCCAAAAGTGGCAGGCTCAAACCCAGAACCTCAACCAATGGCTGATACCAAATGAGAGATTCCCCCAGGGCACACAGAAAACTGGACAACTTGGAAGGCGCTGAACAGACTGCGCTCTGGCACCATGAGATGCAGAGCCAACCTTCAGAAATGGGGCCACAAAGTGGAATCCACGACATGTGAGTGTGGAGAGGAGCAAACCACTGACCACCGGCTGCAATGCACCCTGAGCCCTGCCACATGCACAATGGAGGACCTTCTTGCGGCAACACCAGAGGCACTCCAAGTGGCCAGATACTGGTCAAAGGACTTTTAATCAACTACCAAACTCACAAATTTTGTATTTTTCTGTTTTTGTTTTTGTTTTGCTTTGTTCTGTTAGAAATGTAATATAATCGACTGGTTGCACTGACACGATAAATAAATAAATCAGGAGGAGAAAGGCAAGGCAAAACAGTAATATACTGAAGGAAGCAGCAGGGGTGGCTCAACCCATTACGCAAAGTAAGCATTTGCAGTATAGTTGATTTTGCCCAGGGGTGCTCTTGAGGCGCTCTTGGGGGAAAATAGACCTTGACATATGCGAGTTGTAGTTACTGGGATGTATGGTTCACCTACAATCAAAGAGCATTCTGAACTCCACCAATGATGGAATTGAATCAAATATGGCACACAGAACTCCCACGACGAACAGAAAATATACATTAGTGATTGGTTGGGGGGGGGGGGGAAATACGGTTTGCTTACCGTTGAAAATTACCTAGGACCGCCTCTGGGAAGCAGCCAAGCCTTGAAGCTGCAAAGCTATAATGTTTGTTATCATTAGATCTAGTAGTAAACATGTTGTAAATGTTTGATTTATATATTTAAATGTGTAAGTCTGATATTTTTGAGTTGTTCTATAAGTACACCTGATGTTTATTTATTGTTTATGATTTGATTTGTTTGTTATGTTATGCTGGCATTGAATGTTTGTCCATTTTCTGTTGTAAACCGCCCTGAGTCCCCTTGGGGAGATAGTGCGATATAGAAATAAAGTTTATTATTATGGCTGCCATTCATTTTCCGGTCCCAATTCAAGGTGCAGGTGCTTACCTACAAAGCCCTAAACGGTTTGGGATCCGCCTACCTCCGTGACCGCATTTCAGTGTACGAATCCACACGATCTCTTCGTTCATCTGGAGAGGCCCTGCTTACGATCCCACCGGGATCGCAAGTGCGATTGGTGGGGACGAGGGATAGGGCTTTCTCGGTGGTGGCCCCTCGACTCTGGAACTCTCTCCCTAAGGACATCAGGCAGGCCCCGTCGCTAGCAATCTTTAGGAGGAGCTTGAAAACATGGATGTTCCAGTGTGCCTTTCCAGAATAAGGAAACTCCTAGCATTATGTCCCAACGCACTTTATCAGAGATTTAGGATATCTGCATGCCCACCCTCCTCCAAACACCCCACCTGTCATGCCCAGCACTTTTAATTTTAATTTTAATTATTACATTTGGCCCGGCCATTGTTTTTAATTGTGTCACTGCGTGTTGTTAATGTTATTGCTTGTTTTTGTTTTATTTTGCTGTATTATTGTTGTTGTTGTTGTTTATTGTTGTATTTTGGGTTCGGCCTTGTGTAAGCCACACCGAGTCCTTCGGGATATGGTAGCGGGGTACAAATAAAGGTTTATTTATTTATTTTTTATTATTATTCAATGCTAACCAAGGTGATTAATTGCAGACTTGCCTCAAACAGACAAGAGTTCTTTCTCCAACCCTGGAGACAGGCTTTCCCTTGAAGACTGACACCCTGATTCAAACACAGGGCACAGAAATCCACAGATACATAAACCCTACTTGCCTAGTCCAACAGACCTCACAACTTCTGAGGATGCCTGCCATAGATGTGGGCGAAACATCAGGAGAGAATGCTTCTGGAACATGGCCAAACAGCGTGGAAAACTCACAGCAACCCAGTACTATATTGAGTTGGAGGTGAGGAGATATAATTACGTATGTATGTAAAGAGAGAGACACCTGCATACATTGATATAAATGCATATGTCTGTATATCTATATCTATCTATCTATGTATCTATCTATAGATATATCTAATCAAAGCTTTTAATTGATTTTATTGAGTCATTTCTTCTATGGTTATTTGTGAATTTTAGATGTATTTTATTGAATCCAATTTTACTACCTTTTATAGCTTTTATTACTTTTTATGGCTTTTACTATTTTTATGTCTTGTTTTATTAATGGTTTATGTTAGGATGATGTTTGGGTCCAACTGGAGAAAGGCGGGGTAAAAATGCCTGAAATGTATGTGTATATATACACATATACATATATTGTACACACACATACACATATGTGTGTGTATACACTATAGATATATATATACATGTTCACATATACATATGTGTGTGCAATGCTTCATGTATTTAATGTAAATATGAGACGACAGTGAATGGGTATTGTAGTAACTGTTTATTAATTGTGTAATGTGTTAGGTTGTTAACTGTTTTTATACTGTAGCACTGAATTTTTGCTGTTCGTATTTGTTGTGAACCGCTGTGAGTCGCCTTCGGGCTGAGAACAGCGGTATATAAGTAAGGTAAATAAATAAATAATGTAAATTAAATAACTATTAATTTAATTTAATTTAATGAATTAAATATAGATGTAAAAAGAAGCTCTCAAAGGTGGGTAGGAATTAATATTTTGCCACCTTAAAATACAGAGTTGCATGCATTTGGATTATTCTGAATTGAAAAAATTAGTACTTTAGACATGCTAAGAGGCATTGTTGTTTCAGGATCCCAGACACAGCTGTTGCTTTCATCAAACCCTGGCAATGAACCTAAAGGCAGAACAATGAAGAACAGCCCAAGGGAAGATATCATGTTGTGATACAGGTGATTTTTCTAAAACATGTGACAAGGGATCTGTGTATGGGTCAGAACTTGGGTGTAAAGGTCAGAGGCTGGGGAAATTCCTTCAAAGTTTTCGTTTGGAAAAAAGAAAACAACAACAATCCAGCATGGCATTCCAAGCTCTAAGCAAAGGGTTGCAGATGATGGAAAGTATTTGGATGCTGCTGCATAGGCCTGTGGCTAGGCATTTCTTACCAGTGGAGGGTACATTTCAGAGTGAGCTGTTGTGACAAAATCTGAACTAACAATTCTATGCTGTAGAATTAATGCAGTTTGACACCACTTCAACTGCCAAGACTCAATGCAATGGAATCATGGGAGTTGTAGTTTTACAAGGGCTTCAGATTTCTCAGCTCCCAGGGTTCCACACCATATAGCCATAGTAGATAAAGTGGTATCAAACTGCATTGATTCTATAATGTAAATCCAACCTTGGTTTCTACTATATATTGTTGTAGTTGTAATTATGCAAAGCCACCCTTGGTTTCTACTATATCTAGATTTATGTAATTTACTAAGTAAGTTTTCATGACACAAATAATGGAGCCTCCGGTGGCGCAGTGGGTTAAACCCTTGTGCCAGCAGGACTGAAGACCGACAGGTCTCAGGTTCGAATCCAGGGAGAGCTCCCTCTGTCAGCTCCAGCTCCTCGCATGGGGACATGAGAGAAGCCTCCCACAAGGATGATAAAACATCAAATCATCCGGGCGCCCCCTGGGAAACGTCCTTGCAGACGGTCAATTCTCTCACACCAGAAGCAACTTGCAGTTTCTCAAGTTGCTCCTGAAACGACAAAAAAAATGACACAAATAAATGTCAAGTGCTTGTCAATCATTCTGATACCTTATTGTCTGCAATATTGGCATATATAAACTTAGGCCAAGTCTAAATTGCCATATAACATCCAAATTATCTGCTTTGAACTGAATTATATGGCAGTTTAGTAAAGGTAGGT